GATCCGATTGGTTGGTTCTTAAGATAAAGTTCAATATATTGAACTTTATTTTAAGAAGTGACCTTGAAATTAAGAAAACGACCATAACCTCAATATATTTTGTCATTTATGCAAAAATGAACTGATTTGGATACTTACTGCAACGTCATCATTAGGCGCTCCTCTGGCGATGTCCGATTGAGTTCAGGTGACTTCTGCAGGTACCTCTTCAACAAGGTCAGGAGTTGATACCAGCGCGGCTTTTCGTTTTTTTTTGCTCTAGGCATGGCCATCCTCAATTAATCGCACAAAAAACAAGTCCAAGGCAGAAAAACACACCCGAAGACGAACACCAAAACAAATCTCTACCGCAAATTCGTCAACAACCCAAACAAAAACAACAGATGAGTCACCGCCTGGCTTTCTCGGTAAATCGTCGTGGAACACGAGACACCACAGAATTATTATAATTACGTCAATACGAGCATAGAACAGTATGGAAAGGGCTATCCAAGGGTAAGACGAGTTCCGAAACCACCCGAATCATGTCAAAAAATGGGTGTGACGTCACCAAAACGTTTGACCACCACTGGAAATCACTAGCTAGTTACCTTCTGGCGGCGTAACATGTGGAGGACACTGGTGTAGAAACAGCTGATCCTTAAATTCGGTCACGTTAAGTCGTGCATGAACCCGACATTATACGTTTAAGTTATCTAAAAATAGGCAAAAAATTAACGAATTTTAGTGTGTACCTATCCTTGAATATTCAGAATAATTTTTTTTAGAAAAAAATATTTTCTATATAGGAGGGTTCTTTAAAAAAATCAATGCGGGCACTTATTCCCAATGCGGGCATTTATTGGTCAGACACCAATAAACATAAAATAAACTATAAATAAAATAACATAAGCAATAAGTCAATATTTTTAGTGAGAAGGATGAACTTGATGCTTTAATAATAAATTATCAACATTTGGAGTCAATTTTGTAAGGGTTAATCTTAAATCTCCTCGGCTAATGATGTCCAGTCTGTTTCTTTTTTTCGTTAGGAGATTGGTAACAGCGCTGAACCCCCTTTCCACTAGGTATGACGATGGAAAGGAAATTAAAAATTTCCTCGCTATATTCCATAATACGGGATAAGTAACGGGTATGTTGTTTTGCAGCCAGAATTGCTGATATCCGTTTTTAAACTGAACCATAAGTTCTTCGTTTGTACTTAGTTCAGTCAGTTCCTCTTGTATTATGACATTCGTTTCTTCTATGTCACCATATGGATTAATTATCCACGGTGGTATTACCATAGTCAAAATATCCTCAAACCTAGATTCAAAATCTGAGTAGAGGGCATTTAAATGTTGAACGTAAGTTAAAACGTCGTCTTCCTGGCAGCTTGTCTGTGACAAATTGGGGAACTGAGAAAATTCGCCCCGTCCAATATTTTGCTTCATTAGTTTAACTCTGGCAAGAAACGCTGATAAGATGGACTTTGTTTTAATCAAATGTAAACTGTCGCCTTGTAATTGCAAATTAACCATATTAATTACTGCATCAATGACTAAATGAAGTGATTCATGCAATCTAACACTCACTTTTTTAGCAACTAAATGTTGTCGATGGATGACGCAATGTATTGCTAACACCCCTGACACATTTTGTTTTAAATAGCTTATAAATCCACAATAACGTCCAACCACGGCAGGTGCTCCATCTGTAGCTACTGATATTATATTTGATAAAGGAATTGCTTTTTCAATTAAGTAATCCTTCAAAACATGAAATATTGATTCACCTTTAGTGTCGGTTATCAAAGTTCTTGCGAAGAGCAGTTCTTTGTAGATTTCTTGATTCATAATAAAACGAACATATGCCAATAATAATGCTACATTATAAGGTAAAGTTGACTCGTCCAGTTGTATAGAGAATTGGGTCGGTTGCAAATAATTACATAAGAATCTTTCAATATCAGAACTCATTTCATCAATACGTCTTTCAACAGTATTGTTGCTTAAGGGAATTCTTTTAATGATATCAGATGCAGGTTTGTGTAAAACAGTTTTTAAAACCTCTTCAACGGCTGGCAAAATTAACTTCTCTCCGATAGTATGCGGTTTTCCGGATTTTGCTATAAGTAACGAGATATTGTAAGACGCCCGCAAACCATCATCATTTCTTTGTGACGTCGAAGCGAACATTCTGTCCAGTGTAGGTCTCTTCTGAAATTTATGTTTGAGTGTTTGAAAGTATTTCAAATCTATCTCTGTTTTATCAGGGTGGCAATTTCTCAGATGATCTTGCAGTTTAGATGGTTTCATAGCGTCATTGCCCAAAACTTTGTTGCATAAAAGGCACATAGGCGATTGTTTGTCCCGCAATGATGGAATGAAGGCAAATTTCAAATAATCAAGACTGTACTGTCTACATTTCTTTTTAGATTCGGACATGGCATCAGTCATCTGTAGGCAAAATTAAATTATTTAAATAAGACAGAAAATCCAGCAGCTGTATATTTGAAAATATTTTTTGATTTTTCCGAAAACATTCCATAATTCGAACCTCTTTTTGCAACAATTAGCTCGAATTACGGAGATTGCACTGTAATTATATTACCGATTGCTAAAACTTTCAAAAAGAAACTATTGAGGAGTACTCGTGTAATTTTGCATGATTGAATTTTTAACTACTAATAACTAAAGTCATGATTGGCGTAATTTATCTATCTTTGCTAACTACGAGTACAAAACTAAAATTTAATAAAAAATAATGTACTTACTTTTCTCCAGCACTCTCAAACAAAATAACACTGAGTCACTATAATTTGTGTGATATACTATCTGTTTATATTGTTTAAAATATTTTCTTAGCACTTTCCTTTTCAAGATTCAGGAAACAAATAAACGTATTTGTCCCACATTCGTATTTATAGAGTGACAAATTGAACAAGTCATTGCAAGGTAGCGAAGCTCTGAGACTGCGACTCTCAGGTTTTTACAAGTTCAAAATGTATTGCGACCACAAAGCGAATACCAACATCGTACAACTTACACAATTTTATAAACATATATAATAAATTTTTTACTTCATAGGTAATTTTATAAATAATGTATATGTTTTGATATTATAAGATAGTATGATGTAAGTAAATAGGTACTATCAGTGTATGTGTTGAGATCCACTATCGTGGACCCCATATTCATTTCATGGTCCCCCAAATTTTTTTTCACTGACGTAGACCCCTTGCAGGTTGTCATAGACCCCTAGAGGTCGATATAGACCACTTTGGGAATCAATGTTCTGGATGAAAGGGTCCTCCTTGGCCTTACTTTCTCCAATAAATGTCTTTAGGACTGACCTCTTATTTTTTTGGATTACCTCCTCCATGCAAGTAGGGCGTTTGCCCAGCTTCCTGATATCTACAACTTAAACAGTATATTGAGGACTGATGATCAACATTATAAATTAAAGCTACATCATTCACTAAATGACCTTCTTCCAATAATCTTATACAATAATCTCGTTCTTTTTGAAAAATAAAAGGCATGCAAGCCTACAATCAATATTATTGTTACTTCGCAATTGCATGTTTGAGGTGTAGGTAGTTAGGATGAAATCAGAGAAACGTCCTATTTGCATGGAGAGGGTAAAAAAAGTATGAGGTCGAGCCGAAAGACATTTATTGCGGGAAGTTAAAAATTCGATAATCCGAGTTATAGCCAACTTTCGAAAAATTTGAGATATCACTTTTTTTTAGGATAGTCCAAAGACCAAAAGGATGCGTAGAAAAATTGCCAAGATCGAAAATTGAGAATCTGACATAGCCCTAAACTATGCTAAAAAACATAACTTCCTTTGCTCACCTTGGATAAATAAAATAAATATACCGGTCGATCCCCATATGTGTTCTCAAAGAGTTGGTCAAGAACCTCCCAAATACTGCATCTTTATATCTTTTTCGCGATCCGAAAATATTGAGATTTGAATTTTGGTAAAATTTTCCATGCTACAAAGCAACTGTCTACCAGTTTATTTAAGGATAGTTCATAAACACATTTCTATCAGTCATATTATAAGTGGTGTACACATCTTGCATTTGAATATTAATCCACAGGTGAGGTGTCATTAGGAATACTCCATTGTGCTGGGATAATGCTTGTTATAGTTGATATATGACCTAATTACCTGGAGGTCATTCAAACATGCTTCTCAAAAACTGAAATAATGTTGATGTAATGTCAAATAAACATGTGTTAAGCTGCCTTTTTCAATGTCTACTATGAAAATAGTTTTTTGAAATAACTAAGGTTTGTAAATGTCAATGTGTGACATCACCTGTGTAAATAATTTTGAATTCCCACCTCAAATGAAGTCAGGGTAAAATAAAAAAGATTATGGGATAATTAGGTTTTCGTGTCTTTTGAAATACTTGCAATTAAAGGCCTTTGTATCTGTTACTGTGTCTAAGAACTTAATAGAAAGAGTCAAATTTAAAAATTACCAGTATTTGAATGCATTATAAAGCTGATGAATTAATGCAAAGATACCAAATAGTATATTATAAAATTAACTTGTACTAGAGAGATGTGAACATATGTGGCAAGTCAAGCAATAAGGGTGACTGTACTTATTACTCAATATGTTTATATTGAATTGGATATTAAGATTTATTTACGATTTGAATAAACTTAAATATGATGTGTTTATATTATAGAGGATAGGGACTAACTAAAATCATTTACTATTATACTTTGACAAGATGACATTTGCTTTGTTGTGAACCTGCAACACTGTACTTTAATTGGATTGAAGTATTTATATCAATAAAGACAAATCAAAATCTTAGTCAAATCCTATACTTGTTTGGATGATTGTCTCATAATACTACATACAACCTCAAATTAGTGACCACTTTTACCAGACTCACTAGTTTTAAATTAGTATTGGTTATAAACCTTATTTTGTCAAAAATACTTATCAAGGCAATTATTACTATAATTTAAAAACTGACTTGTCAAACTAACCTGTTGGTTTCATTAAATGAATGCAAGCAGTTGCAATCCATGTTATCCTCAAGAATAATACAATGGTGATCACCTTCTGAATCTTCCATTTTCAGTGCAGCCTCATAAAATTCTTTGATAATGTTATCATGTTCTAAATAGTAATATGAGAATAATATTGCCCTTAAAATCAATCTTAGCGCAGAATGAGGACAAGTATGCTCATAAATAGGTTTTTTGAGATTTGTGCGTTTCCTAAAGAGCAACAATCGGTCATAAATATGGTAGAATGATGTATAAGAATCATGGAGATACTTTACAGCATTGTAAAACTTTTGAAAACCTGTCCGGCTGAAATCGTTCTTTTTGAAGAATGACCAAAATTGTGGCACTATTTTATCTCTTAGTATATCCTCGGTCCTATTTACTATCATGTTTTGAATAGGTACTACAATATTGGCTGTTTCCGTAAATTCGACCATTGCATTAAATTCATCTTCTTCTATTTCGCTAGCTGGCATGTCGCACAACGTATAATTGTCGGTTACTACAGGAAAAATAGCCTTTAGTTTATCCATTTTTTCTAAAATTTCGCTTCTGCTGTTTGTTTTTCACCACAAAACATGTACTCAGAGTACTCATACATAACAATACATTATACACAAATTTTTAAAAGACGTTGACATATTGGCAACACAACACTATAAAATGTCTGCTGGATAAAAGCACAAAACATACACGGAAAGAACGCTTACTCAGAACAATTCGACCAGCACTACGAATGACTTTTGCCGCCATGTTTTTAATAGGATGTATATCAGCTTCTTGATTAAAGAGTGCCAGGGGTTTTAAATTCAAGAAACAGAGTTGAAGGCACTATATTCCACTGCTAAACCATGGTGATCAGAGATAGATAGAATACAGATTATCTGCTACTGTTATATCCTCCAGGTCCAGGCCATATATCTAAACAATTGAGTTCTTCAGGATCATGGCTAATGTGTTTCACAATCAAGGCTAATGTAAGTTTATGCAGAATTGAGTGATTTGTGGAGATCATCTGTTAATATTGGTATTCTGTAGCGACAGTTTCCGTAGGTTTCAAGTTTGAATATATCATGTACTTCAACATAAGCGGTTAAGAATGAATCTAAAGTCAGATATTCTGATAATATATAGTTATCATGCTTGAATTATACAAAATCTTATACGAAGTATGATATATTTTAATGATGCTGTAACAATTCATGAACTATATACAGCGTGACTTTGAAGTTGAGTCATTAATTTTCAGATAATGATTGTAGAAGGAATATAAACCAAAATATGTGTGTAAAAATAAAAAAAAAATAAAAAAAAATTTTTACCTTGTTTTATAAAGTATCCTCCCGACAAGTATTTCAGTGCGGACCTGTATTTGATCGTGAGGTCCCCTGTGAGGTCTTAAGTCACCTGATTCACGAGCCCGTTGTACTACATTAACAAAGGCACGAGGGGTTGGTTGCACTCAATTGGGAAACCGATCCGCATAAACATGTGCCATTTTTTATTTCGTTTGAGCCACGCAACAGATACAACTATTCACTGACACTGACTGTATACAAATGAATGAAATAATTCGTTCCAAATTCTTTCGCTTTTTTGTTTCCGATGCGATGAACCGATACGACGGATTATATCCGTTGTCGCCAAACACGAGCACATTGAGACAGGGCGGTACTCAAACTTCCAAAGGGCTATAACTTTGTTACTTTAATTTTACCAGAAAAATGGTAAAGGAAAAAAACATTTCTTTTGATCAGATCTACTCACTGTTAAAATAAATGACTCAACTTCGAAGTCACCCTAATCATATTTTCGACAAAACTTTTTCATTCTAATAATTAATGTTATGGAAAACTTTAGTAACCGCGCAGTCGTTAACGATAACTATTATTTCTTTGGAAACGAATTTGTTTCATCATTAATTTTAATAGTTTTGTCATGCAGGTGCTGCAGATGACCATCATCAGGAATGAAAATATTTGGACCATAAATATTATTGACATGTTCATTCAACATGAAATTTAGATGCACATATATTCTTAAATATAGATTTTTTACTGTTCTCAAAATTTCAAATAACTGTAGGATATATGGATTTATAATGGCATGTGTTATTGACGCTGCTGCTCTAACAGATCAGCGACTACTTATTTGTCAAAACAACAAAAGTGTGTTAATAATACAGGCATTATGAAATATTTCATGTATCGTTAGAAATGCGAACTATAAGATTATACAACAGTCTCAGATTTATGCAAGGAGCCGGCAACGTCGCATTCGCGTTCTTGCTCAATCTGGCAATCATGTGGCATCCAGAAAAAATGACGTTTGACACTGACATAAGTCAGTCGTGTTGTGTGTTGTCCTATGGTTAGCACGTGAGCACAGATTATGCAGGTCCCACACGATGCACAACGTTGTGTACAACGTTCGGCACCCCACAATTGGCAAGTGTGTCTCCTAGTCGATGAGATGAACTTTTTAGTATTGAACGTTCGACGCATGGTGGCGCCAACGTCTATTATCGGTGTCAGTGTCGCGCTTGAACCTTAAACACTGAAGGAAAAATTATACAAAATGAACGATGAAACAATGTTTTCGAGCGCCAGATTTATCTTCAGAGACCAAAATTGAAGTCTGTCAGAAGCCTCAGAAATGTAGAAAAGCGAAGTTTGACCGTTTTTTGTTTGTTTTTTGACGATAACTTCGCCGCCACTTTACCGATTTTCTAAAACCGTAGAGCTTTTTTGTTATTTTCGTAATAGTAACCTAGGGTCAAAATTTCATCAAAATCCTGATAGTACTTTCAGAGTTATCATTTATTTAATCGTTTTCGTTAGTTATAAAATGCAAGTCAATATATTTCTCAACTAGTCTCGCATTGCAACAGGACATTATAACGAAACAACTGTAAGCACTTGATAATTTATAATTTACTAAAATATATATTTTTAAGCCAGACATAACTCACCTGCGAAGCGTACAAAATATTAGTAATACGAAAAAATCTATGGCGTCCTATGCTTTGAATGTATACTAATTTAATTTATTCTCCTCAAAAGTTAGTTACGGAACATACATTATTATGAATAGGTAGGTATTCAAATCAAAATACTTCAACGCAATCTCGGCAAACAAGTAAATAATATTTTTCGCCGCTACTGGTTCTAGCCTAAAACCATCAAATACATGACATCTCGTGAGGGAGCGTAACGAACCAGGCTTCCAACGTTGTAACGTCTTTTGACGGGGGTCAAATTTACCGACAAGAGCCCGAATGTGCGATGTGGCGAACGCTAGACACACGTAGGGCCGATTTCACCAACATTAATATTATGGACCAATGGGAAAATACCTTATCGAAATGCAATTTGACAGAAGCTGTCAAAGATCTTTGAATATTAGTGATTTCTATTGAAATATTGAATAAAATCGTAAAAATTCGACTGTATTATAAACAAGACCACTTTTTGATTCCAACATGATGCTTTTGTACAGAAAAAAAAGGACAACTTTCATGTATTTTGATATATGTTATAGGTTTACATTTCACAATCCGTTATCCCCCTCAGCGAATGGGAATGCGCCAAATAATAGGTCGATTTTCTTGCTGTTAAACTTGGCAGCAGATTTGGACGTCTGTTAATGCATGGCTCTCTCAAATTTACTAACTTCAATATATTGAAAGTTATCATTACAAAGCTGTGGAATAGTGTGGATTTGTCTGTATTTTGCAAGAAAATAGAATATAAAATACATTCCATCCCATTCCTCATCTTCCTTTACGTCATAATAATAATCATTTATTAATTTATGGGTTAATGAATTTCTTCAAAGCAATAAAAACATTATGTCCTCTCCATCCTAAAACACAGATAATATGTGTAAGACGTGTCAATCCCTACATCTACCTGATGCATAATGCAATTACTATGGACATAGACAAAAAATTATGAAAAATGTTTCACAGATAATGGCTTTTAAGTCCAAAAATCAAAAAAAACTAGTAATGTTTATTGTTTGTCTATTTTTCTTTTTTGACTGGCGGGGATATCTATCTGAACTCGCAGGGTTGCCAAGTCTAACGACGATCACGTCCCGTGGTGGAGGGTGCGAAATGAATCTTTTACATTTGCTGGTTTTGAATTTTTTTCGTGAAAATTTACTAGGTATCATGATTATAAGCATCTTTTGTAGATTGTTCGATCCGGAATGAGCAAGATCTCCTATTTATGAAAATATTTTTGGTATCATCTAACCGTTGCAATCAGTGCAGAAACACTGTGACATATGATTTATAGCATAACCCGCTGCCCTATCAATACAAATTTAACATACAGGTCGCCTAGCCGTGGGGATGCAGTGGTCGGGATGAATATCACGGCAGCAACTGATGATTTGGGCATGTCTGGTAACAATGTATGAAGTGAAACTCGCTAACTTCACAAATTTGAAGATTTTGTACAATTTCTTTGAAAATGATGAAAGATATGTCTGATTTGGCAGGGTAATGTCGCAGCCAAATGGCAGTCACTCTTTCTGACAACAGTCCGGATCGAAAGATGACGATACTCGTGAAATGTATTGATACTTCTGAATATAGGATCGTAACGAACATCCCTACTGTCAAGATGAATAACCCAAGGTACCGACGGAGCTATATTGCGGCGTCAAGGAAATAATTTTAAATTTTCATTTGCATTTTTTCAAGTGATTTTGGGAAAAATGTCACGAATAGTCTTATAAAGCATAGTAGAGTATATTTCAACAGTTGGCGGAACTTCTCCACTGGGACCAGGAGGGTGAAACGGGATATTAATGCACAATCTGGCAACCCTGTCGCACCCTCACAAAATGGCCGCTGATAACCACACAAGTCACCGTGTTGTAATTGAATAGCATGGAATTAAACCTTCAGAGTATAATATGTTTTGTGACTGGTACCAAGAGTTGACAGATCCCACACATGTGTCACTCCTTGAAATGCAATAATCAGCTGTATTCAAATAATGTCTAATATAAATATAACCTAGAATGTCTACTCGTGAAAAAAGAAAAATATGGCAAATTTGTAGTTTTTTTGCAGGTTTTAGGTTTGATGGTAGCTTTAAGGCGTATATTTGGGAATTTATTAATCGCGGTAAATATAGTGTGGATGTTTGTTCAGTTCCTGAACAACGAAAAATATTCAACTTTATGGATGTATGGATATCAAAAAACCTGAATGGTTTTGTGGGAATATCAATCTAAGGTGCCATAATGGTTCTGATGAACGGCAAGAAAATGAATGAATGTTTGGAAACGAGCAATATATTTTGGTAGAGCCCGTCATCAAGTAGGTGCTTAATGGCTATCTGCAAGAGGTTTATAGGAAAAAACACCCAGTATCACATATCAATTGAAGAAAATAATATAAACATGAATAAAAAATCAACAATAGTAATTAAAACATGAATTTAATTCAAAAATCAAACATTTCTTAAAATTTTGACTGAATTATATGTAATTTCTTAATATTCAATAAGCTGGTGATGTTTCAATGACAAGTTGTCATCTCATACTTTGACAGTATTTTGTTTTCAACATTTCATAGCTATTGGTTGCTAAAATTTGTTGATTGGAAGCTCATTCGCTGTATCTGACGGTCTGTTACCCTA